CCCCCTCTAAAGGCCGTTTTCCACTAGGCGAATTTTTTCGCGCGAACAGATAAAAAGTAGGAAGCGATCCTACTTTTTCGCCGCGAATTTTTTCGCCGACCAATCACGTTGCCGGATTTCGGTTTTCGCTTCGCGTCGCGCGAACAAATTCGCCTAGTGGAAAACGGCCTTAAGACACCCCTGAGGTACCTTCGGCACCACAAAGCTGCCTATACAGTACTTCTTTCAAGACGTCTCATACTCCAAATCCTATTGGGAACTCTGCTTATTACGAATGTTCATAAAAAAGTCGATACAATTTACATACTTATTATGTAGTGTACCCTTGAGTTGGACAGCATGTTCAAACGAACTACTGTAGTTTTAAAATTATTTGTTGAAATTTGGAAAATAAGCTGAACATCTACCATTAAACTCGGCTTCATTTGACCATATTGCTGGCGGCCAAAACGTACGGGCTCAAATAAAGCGAATGTTTAATCGAAACGTTTATGTTTTCCAGAGGTTAAATGACAAATGATTTATTATGACAAGTATTTTTAAACCGTATTGTGTGCACAGTATTTCGTAATTTTACGCCAGCAATGATATCTTCTTCCTGCAGTAGCTCCACAAGAAATGGTTGTATTGACTCAAAATTATCGGTGAACGCTCCTTAAAACGGTCTAGAAAGCAGGAAACAAGTTGGCATTCTTCTTTTAATTAATACCTTTTTTTCTCGTTTTCCACCCTAGATTTTCGCTTGATGCTAGGAAATCTTTAATAGATTTTCCCTTCAGTTCATTTATGGAATCGTCTCAAAGTGTTACCGCTGATCTATCTGTAAGTATCAGAAGCACTGATCTCAAAATAGAATGGATAGCACAATTCATACTCTTTGTTCACTGGTTCGGGAAATGAAGCTTGCAGCCAGGCTTAGAAAATATTAATATTACAGTAAATTTAGTTTTTGGCAGCGAAATCCAAAAATAAAATTTTCCTGTGGAAATCACGCATGATGCAGCATAACGTGATAAACTTTAATTTCAGCACAAAATTACCTTCAATTTCGCATAAAACTACCTTCAATTTCACATAAATTAAACTACATTTGTCATATGCAAAGAATCTCAAGCAATCTATTTCTACCATAATACTGTACGATCCTTAGCATACTTACAGTATATATTTTTTACCCAATAATACATGTTCATAATATAGTTGAATTCTGGCTTTCCTCTTTTCCACTGTCACTCTCTTATAATACACTGTACAGTATAATACACAAACCTTTTTGAATAGAGAAATATTGAAGGTGCGAATTTGGTTACCAACTTACCAACATACTGTACTCTCGTCCTTTAGTCTAGCCAAAATATCATTTTGGCTCCGATTTTAATAATTATGCAAATTTACTCATAGGCGTACCGGGCGGGGGGGCAATATTCGATCAACAGTCGGGCAATTTTGGCTTGCAATAAAAAAAAATGGGACAAATTCTGTCAATTTTGTCTAAAATGAAGTCAATTTTGTCTAAAATGAAGTCAAATTTTTGGCAAATTTTGTGATTTTTCGAAAATTTGTGTTATGTTCCGAAAGAAATTGGTTGTCCGGAAAAATTTTTTGACCCCTAAAATGGTACACTGACCGAAATTGTTTTGGCGACGGGCGGTCGCCAAAATAATTTTTCAGGAAAAATTTTTTTGATACTAGTCGGGCAGAATTCGAGAAGTCGGGCAATTTTCTTTCCGCCCCCCTAATTTTTTCCTTCCGGTACGCCCATGAATTTACTTGACTAGTGGCATGTCAGGCTTCCGCTGTTTTAAAAATTATTGTTAAAGCTTACCGTACTATTGGTGCATAAACTGCGTTTTAATTTTAGTTTCCATCGCGGCTTGGTTCGCATTCTGTGACTTGGGAAGGAGCATGGAGGAAAATTATGGGTATTCCGCTACTGGCATCATTTGATATACGACAACATGCTGGTTATTCTCTCAAGTCTTCTGTAAAGGTACAGTACATGTATGTTTATGAATGATATGATATTGAACGTGCCAGTGTAATACCAATTATAACAAAACTTCGGCTGATAGAGATGCAACTGCTGTACAGTGTAGGTACCTGAAAAATGCAAGGAGAACTTCGACGTTTCGAGCGAAGGCCGTACTACAGTAAGTTTTTTTAAATGTCTGTGCTAGTGTAGGTAGTGCGAATAATAACAAAACTTCGGCTGATAGGAATGCAAGTACTGCACAGTACCTGAAAAATACAAGGAGAACTTCGACGTTTTGAGCAAATACTACTACAGTAACTTTTTTTGAACTTTCTGTGCATGCTAGTGTAGGTAGTGCCAATAATATGAACAAGCGTTCGTTTGTAGGGATGCAACTACCTGAAAACTATAAGGAGAATTTCGACGTTTCGAGCGAATGCCCTTCGTCTGGAGTAAGGGCCTTCGCCCGTAACGTCGAAATTCTTCTGTATTTCCAGGTGGTTGCATCCCTATCAACCGAAGTTTTATGTTGATGATTGGTCTACAACATAGATATCTTATATACACTAGATAGTGCATCTAATTATTCTGCAATTCAAAAATTGAAGCCGTGATTGCAGTCTCAGGTCGTTCCCATGAAATGAGAAGATTCGTATGTTTTCTATTTCTTAAACAGAGAACTTAAACATTAAGTTAACCCTATTCCAAATACATTTTTAAACTATTCAAATGATGAAATTTATTGTTGTTTTTAAGCGTTTATTAGCAAGTGGGAACGACCAACATGGCCGCCATCTATTCAAATGGGGGTAACCGCTGGAATATTCTTGGCTTCAATTTTACTAAAAGAGATGCGCTATTTGGTGTACATAAGATATCTATGGTCTACAAGGACAAAGTTTCTGTGATTGATGTTGGGGTGTACCGGAACTATTATTTGAAGTTCTGGTCGGAACCGAATGAGGATTTCCACCGGAATTAATTTAACAGGCCAGAACCCGTTCCGGTAAACCTTTAATTTGTACACCTACGATCAGACAAAGGCGTTTTAGAGCATGTAAAAGAATTATATATTTATATTTTATAATTTTATATTCTCATTGGCATATGCATTCCAATTAAGGGTTCACGCCAGAAAAAAATGATTTGCACCAACTTTGCCTCCCAAAGAGTTTTTTATTTACAGTAGGAATTATAAAAGTCGCGCGAAAATTTGGAAGGGGGGAATTTTAATGCGATCGGGCGTGCGAGAGGCGGCAAAAGAGGGATAGGAGAAGTATTTTTTTCGGCTCACATCCTCTCAATTTCGCAGAGTGGCAATATGCCTCTAAATGATGATTTTCATGTCAGTGAAATTGGGAAAATGTATTAACGCGTGCCTTCGAGTATTGTGGTCGCGCACCCCTCGCATCTGTCCACGCAGCTGGGTAGCAAGCCATGGCGCCTGGGTTACGAGACAGAATGGTGTGGTAAACTGGTAATTGATCAAATTAATCAAACTAAATAATATATATTGAATTTGAGTTTAACTATTCTGCGGGCAGAAAAATGCGGGCTGCGGGCAGAAAATAACAATATTATTCAAAATGTTCTGTCTTTGAAGTATATTCTATGGCTAATGCTCTTCGTAATCATATGCATATGAATTTTTCCTTAAATTCATACTTTCGGAAGATTGAAGGGGTGTTAAATGGCTATGTAACTAACCCAAACCCTACCCCTACTCTAACCCCTAACCCTAACCGCAACCCTAACTCTAACCCTAATCGAATTAATAAAAAAATCCAAAAAAAAACGACTTTAGAAAATCGATAGGGCGGTTTGCTGGATGGAAAAAAGTGCTAACCGCCAAAATCATTGGAAAATCATAGGAAAAACCAAGAAATTGGGCTTCTGTATGACCCATTCTGTGCCCTGGTTATGATGCGCTACCGCTTATAACTTTTGGTACAAGTGGCCTGAAACTTAAATATTTATTCAGTAAGTTTAATATCAATATATTTATTGAAAAATAGCTATTATTTCAAAATAAGAAAACTTAAGATTCTCACGCGAATAGGCAATGTTTTTATGAGCGACTGTTCATCGTTAGTTGCAAACGACGGTAATATAAACAAGGTCAAGGTTTTATCGAAAGCGATTGAGTGTTAGATTTCCTTTTATACTATTTTATAACTAAATAATGTTATTTCCTACAAATTTAGCTTTATTGTAGCTTTATTGAAAGTATAAAAAAAAACCATGGAAACGGCGAATTACTATAGATTGAAAATAATTATTAAACTATGATTGAAATTATCGACGTAGAATGCTATTTCGTTGTATTAAATTTCAATAGTATTAATGAGAATTTTGTTTGATATTTTAATATATTTCATGTTATTTACAAAATGTACTGTAGTTTTGAAGTTTTGCGCACAATATAGTAAGTGTTAGCACAATTTGGGCAGTTTCAATAGTTTCAATTTGAGCATATATAAAAAAATATATTGAGTATTTTGATAGCGTGCGTAGCCAGGCTTCACGATATAAATATTAAAAACGACTGATAAATAATCATTCATTGCGAGCACAAATAACAGAATATAAGGAAAATTAAAACCAGCAAAGCTTTACCTACCTTGATCTATTTTTCTAAAGCGCTCAATTATGTAAATTTTCCGCGAACACTCAAACATTTTTCTTTACCTTTCTTCGAGCATGAGTGATGAAATGCTCGTCGGAAAAACAACACCGCGGAAAAACGTCTGCGCATGCGTCAACCTTACCTGTAATAGTATTGCGAACTTGATGAGAAGCTGTTCCGAACGTTTCCGAAGTCTCAAAATGGCGGTAAAAAGGAGTGACTTCATTGTGCGTCTTTACAGCCAGATTTCGAGCGCAAAAATAAACATGTCATTCTAAAAACTAGGAATAAATACAGCCAGAAGGTTCAAGAAATTGTATTGTACAAGAACATGAACTAAAGGTGATTGTTGACAAATTTATCGTCTGAAACATTTTGTTTATCAACTAAGCAACGAGAATTTCCGAATTTTCGTTTGAGATACATTTCTTTAAAAAAAACTGTGTCGCCAAATATAAAAAATTTTCGTGTTCACAATAATTAAACTTTAGGATTTATTCTACAATTTGAGTGGGTTAAGAAGCTTAACTTTTCGAGAGTTTTCTTAACTTTTTAGTTTGAATTTTTGTTTTGAATAATTTTGCAAAAATTTTCGAAGTCGTATCCGTTAAAATCAACAATTTTTTACATGAATTATATTTCATTCCATACTTTAAATGCCAGGACGCTTTCAATTAATGTCTAGTCAACCCATTTGCTATATTTTCTCGTTTGTTTTTCTAATTTTTGACCAATAAATAAGCATGTTTTTGTTTTAGAAATTGATATCCAAATTCCCGCCATATTTTTATAATTTGGTGCATGCGCAGACGTTTTTCCGCGGTGTTCGTTTTTCCGGGTGTATTCGCGTTCGAAATGAAAAGTTCGTCGCGAGTCAACTTTTTGGCGTAATAAAGAAGTAATAACCAATTCACATTCACGAAATTTTGAATTTTTTTTGCACATTTCGGTAAGTTATACGCTTGAAGTGGAAAACGGGCTTAATAGTTTCTCTCACAAGGGGCGTTTCCTCAAAAATATTAGTCGATCCGCAATATACCTCGATAATAAGTGAAAAATTGAACACTAATTTTCAGCTTAAAGGAAAGTTGCAAAAATACAGCTGCTCTCTATTTGCAGAAATCATCATGCTAAATACTGCAATGTCTGCGAAAATTCAACTAAATTACCTTTTTATTTGTTGAAGAACCCACATTATTGCCAAACTTAATTAACTTATGATGTATTTGAAATTGGAAAACAAACTACAACATTATTTAGCCGATGAAACTGTTTCAGCACAGGTGTACGGGAGAAAAAATTACTGACGCTGACAAAAATTTGCCCGACGTTGACCGAAATTGCCCAATAATCTACAGTTACAAAATTTTCCCTCATAAACTGCCCAAAATTTTGTTTTCCAACGTTACATTTTGCTTACTTTTTCGACTATTTCATTACGTCGTGCTTCCCTTTCATTATTTGCCCGATTTTTACTGAAGTGGAATTTGCCCGATTTTCTCATCCCCGACTTAAAAATAATTGGGGGGCCTGCAACCCTAATAGAATAGTTCTTTTATGAAAAATAATCGAAAATTTAAACATTCTGATTTAAGACTGAAGCAAAAGAAATGGTGATGAAACAACGTTTCAAAGTACACGGGCTTTTCATGTTTCGGCAAATTTCAATTAGTACTAATTATTTTTACTGAAGTGGAGATCTCGCCGCTTCATTTTCAAAATTAAACAAGCTTTCTTTCATTGACATTCTTCATAAGTTGTCGCCGAGGCCGAGAGAAAGAAGCATACATCTTTATGGTAAAACTAAAGGCAGCCTGATTCACCTAATTCAGGTATATATATATTTCTTAAATTTTATAGACCAGCTGACATATATATATGTTTAGTATATTCATGGTATATGTAGATAATCAGGTGGCATGTTACTCATGTATTGTATATGCTTAAACTTCAGTCTTTATGAAGTTGTCATGCAAATCATTATATACTATATATAACCTGAAATAATATGTGAGAGACATTTCTACTGAATTGAAAAGCAGAGAGAGGGTTTTCTCCAGACTGAAAAGTTTGGTCTGCAGCGTAATTCCGCGCGCAGAAATTGCAGCTGAATCAGTCCTGTTCGCTCAAAATCCAGGTATATATATGTTTGATTCAATTTAGTTTAATGCTTTAAATTTCATACATGTTAAAAATGTGGTAAAATCGATTGTGAATCATAAATGTTAAAATAATAGAAGTTATACAAAATTTGCTTGTTTTACTTATTACTGATATCATCGCAATATTCAAAACTGACCATATCAAACGAAGGACTAAAACGCAAAATTGAACTAAGTCTTTTCCAACGGTTAGAAAGGTATAAGAATGAATTATAAGACCTGTCGAGAAAGAAAGAGTTAACGAGAAAAAAAATTTCACACATTGAGCAGCACTGAAAACAGAACAGCCTCAATGACATGCCTTGCACTATTTTTCGTCGTTTTGAGATGTACATGCAATTGCTTCAATTTGACTGTCAATTTTTAAACGATTATATCATGAGTCCCTGGAAAGCTGACAAAGATTGAAAATTAAATGAAATCGTTTGAAATTTCAAATGCATTCAGGGTTCCAGTCACGGTGCATCGTGCATATATAAATAGCAATAATGAGAAGTTCTGAAGGGGGTGAGGTTAGATCCCATCTTCCAGACCATATAGCCATTTTTTGACCAAATCCATGCCGCAGTTTCAACTGTAAATTTAAAAGTATATATCCTGACCCTGAGCAGCTGGTGTTTCGCGCGATCACCAATGCATGTTGACTTTTAAAATACAATATATTCTGCTTTCAATGGCTCTTTTTAGAAATAACTTCACCAAGTAAAATGTTTCAAGTTTATAAATACCTGTTATTTTCTATCGCATATCAAGTAAATCACTGACGTACCGCAATAATGCAGAAAACTTAAAATTACCTTCGGCCGGAAAAGAGCAGAATGCGGGGCGGAAAAGGCCGCAGAATGTTGGAGACCATTTTTAATTTAAATCTGCTCTATATCGGCAAGTTATGGGGATTGAATTTCGAATTCTTTCACAAGTTTGTCTTAGTTTATATTAGGTGTTCCTTGATGACATGCGTGAAAGATAAATGATGATTTTCTCTTGACAAGGGCAGTAAAATCTTAAAACGATGTTTAATTGTTTATTCTGTCACTATTGCAATAGCTATTAGAATAGCAAGTGCTGCAATATGCGGACAGTTATGTGTGAACGTGAATAGGACTCGCATGCAGGAAATCATTCACGCCTGTACTCAGATGTTGCTACGTAGCCGAGGTGAACGCTTAATTATTAAAAGCAGGCGTCTTGTTTTATCGTTAAATTCAGTTTCTTTAGAACATATCAAATGGATTACCGGTTAATTCATAAAGTAACACGAATGTGAACTAATTCATTTCTCTTACCACACTTACTACTGATGTGGGCAGGCTTCAACCTCGCTCCCAGGGCTTTTTCCTGCAAATTGCCGATGGCTGGGGGGAGAGGGCTGCAGCCCCAGCCCCTCTTACGCCTATGCGCTATTATACCAATGCATGGTGATATAGGGAGAGCAGTTGCCAATTATTGAACGGATATTTCGATCTATATTCAAGAAGAAAATCCTCGAATGTTAACTACTAGGTGCATGAAAGTTTTTCGTAATTATAGTAGCTTCTCTGACAAAGGGCGTTTCCTCAAAATATTAGTATATCTGCAATATATTCATGCAAGCTCGGATTTCAGCCGTTAGGTTTCTAGGCACTCGATATATACCTCAATAACAAGCGAAAAATTCAACACTATAATTTTCAGCTTGAAGGAAAGTTATAAAAGTACATCTGCTATATCATTGCCTCTTTGATATTTTGTCTCTATTTGCAGAAATCATTATGCTAAATACTGCAATGCCTAATTAAATTACTAACGAAAATTCAACGAAAATTGAACTAAATTACCTTAGTTTTTGTTTGATGAAGAATCCATATTATTGCCATACTTAACTTGTGACGTATTTGAAATTGGAAAACAAAATTCTACATTATTTAGCCGCTGAAACTGTTTCAGCACAGGTGTATGGGAGAAAAAATTACTGGCACTGACAAAAATTTGACTGACGTTGACCGAAATCGGCCCAGTCTATTACAAAATTTCGTTCTCGTAAACTTCCCAAAATTTTGTTTCCCAACGTTACATATTGCTTACTTTTTCGACTATTTCATTACGTCGTGCTTCCCTTTCATTATTTGCCCGATTTTTACTGAAGAGGAATTTGCCCGATTTTCTCATGTGCCCGACTTAGGAAATAATTGGGGGGGGGGCTGCAACCCTCCCCCTCTTACGCCTATGTGTTTCACTGTTTTTACATTATGACACATTCACTACTGGTTCAATAACTATATAAATAGAATAGAATAATTTTATTAGAGAAATAATCCAAAATTTAAATCTGATTTAAGACTGAAGCAAAAAAAATTGTGATGAAACAACGTTTCAACGTAAGGGCTTTTCATGTTTCGGCAAATCAATTAGTACCAATTATTTTTACTGAAGTGGAGATCTCGCCGCTTCATTTTCAAAACTAAACAAACTGTCATTCATTGACATTCTTCATAAGTTGTCGCTGATGCCGAGAGAAAGAAGCATACATCTTTATGGTAAAACTAAAAGGCAGCCTGATTCATCTAAGTCAGGTATATATATATAATTGCTTAAATTTTATAGACCCGAGCTGTATGAACTAACTACTAAGTCTAAGACATATATGTTTAGTCATTATTATATAGTACATAATAATGTACTAATCTATATATAACATAATATAGCCTAATACAGCCGAAAAATGCCAGTATTTTTTGGCACTTCCCTTTATCCTTATACTGTCAGGGACCGCGGAGACGGGGGGGCTGGGGGGGCTTTAGCCCCCCACTTTTTTTGACAGCCAAAATTATTAAAATAGAAATCTAAATGAAACTTTCTAAATTAATTAATTGGGGGTTTTATTGATGATTTAGCCCCCCCACTCTCTAATACGCTCCGCGGGCCCTGACTGTTCACGAGACATTTCTACTGAATAGAAAAGCAGAGCGAGGGTTGTCTCTAGACAGAAAAGTTTGGTCTGCGTTCCCTGCGCAGAAATTGCAGCTGAATTTCTGTCCGCGCATTTTCAAAAAAACTATCCTCAAATTTTTTCAAAATCCTCGTACTATATCATATTTGATAAAATCTAGTAATTCATTTATATTACTTCAACTCATACGTCATGAGAGCAAGCTTCATACGCAAGAACGCAATTTAGTTTAATGCTTTAACTTCCATACATGTTAAAAATGTGGTAAAATCGACTGTGAATCATACAAATGTTAAAATTATAGAATTAAGTTATACAAAATTACTTGTTTTCTGGAAGACCTAGAAATATATCTTGAAAAATTATTATATCATCGCAATATTCAAAGTACTATTTACAACATAAGCGGCCGTGTTGTAAATGGTTTAAAAAACGATTCATCTTATGAGTTCATTGGCGAAGTAATTTTAAAAATAAACGTTGTCTAAGCCGAGAAAATCAAAGTTAAAGTTTATGTAAATCAACACGAATCTGTATCACATATACAGACTCCTTCACGCCCATGATTTCTTTTGTGTTTTCTTCATGAATTATTAATGAGTTTTTTAAAGTTATGAAATTTAAACGTCCACAATCAAACAAAGAACCGTAGCTAATTATATAAAACGCAAAATTGAAAGTATTTTCCAACGGTTAGAAAGGTATCATGTAAGAATCAGTTAGGACCTGCTGAGAAAGAGTTAACCTGCAGAAAAGAATTTCACACATTGTGCAGCATTGTAGTCTGAAACTTAAAACCCTGTGCAACAGAACAGCCTTCCATATATGTTGCCCTAGCTATTTTTCGTCTTTTTAAGATTCACTGAAGGGCCTGAAGATTATATTTTAATAAAAAAAAGACTAGCTCCATGCACATGCAATTGCTTCAATTTAACTGTCAATTTTTAAACTATATCAGTCCCTGCATGGAAAGCTGACAAAGATTGAGAATCAAATGAAATAGTTTGAAATTTTAAATGCATGCGTGCAGGGTTTCAGTGACAGTGCATGTAAATAGTAATAATGCATGAGAGTTGTGAAGGGGGCGAGGCAAGATCCCATTTTCCAGCACACTTTTTTCTAAATTTTATTTCCTATAGCCATTTTTGACCAAATCCATGTAACTGTAAACTTAAAAGAATATCCCTGAGTATAGCTGGTGTTTCGCGCGATCACCAATGACAATGTGTTGACTTTTACAGCACAATAATTAATTATATATTTTGCTTTCAATGGCTTTTTTTAGAAATAACTTCACCAAGTAAAAGGTTTCATTAAGTCTATAAATGCCTGTTATTTTCTATCGCATATATATCAAGTAAATCACTGACGTATACTCGGCGCAAAAGAGCACTAGAATACAGGGCGGAAAAGGGCAGAATGTTGCATGGAGTCTAGAGACCATTTTTTAATTTAAATCTGCCATATCGGGAAGTTATATGGGGATTGAATTTCGAATTCTTTCACAAGTTTGTCTCAGTTTATATCAGGTGTTCCTTGATGATATGCGTGGAAGATAAATGATAATTTGACAAGGGCAGTAGAATCTTAAAATGATGTTTAATTGTTTATTCTGTCACTATTGCAATAGCTATTACAATATGCGGACAGTTATGTGTCAACGTGAATAGGACTCGCATGTAGGAAATCATTCATGCCTGTAGTCAGATGTTGCTACGTGGCCGAGGTAAACGCTTATTAAAAGCAGGCGTCTGGTTTTATCGTTAACTAGATTCCTTTTCTATAGAGCGTATAAAATGGATTACCGATCTTTGCTACAGTTAGCCATGATGGTTATCAATGGCTGTAGTTTGATTGCATTTCTAACGTTGGTAAAACAAAGTGATGGAGCATCTAAGTTTTCTTTGTTCAAATTGTACAATGACAGTTATCTTCCAAATCGCTTGATCAGAAGCATTCGTGCAATGTCACAAGTCGAATGCTCGATGATGTGCTCCAGTGAAGAGAAATGTGAATCTTGGAATATGTATGAGGCAGTGCCTGGTCGTAATTGTGAACTGAATAATGCCACTGTGAAAACAGAATCTGCAAATCATGTACTGAAGAAAAGAAACGGAGCTACATTCGGTCATCGGATCACACTTCCTAGAACGAAAAATAAAAAGGTAAGTGAAGCCTTGAGCAAGGGTCATAGTTGTGCGAGGAGAAAAAAATTAAGGAGGTAGAAAGAAATTTGTCCGATTCTTTTGCGTTTTGCCCAACCAATCAAAAAGGGGAGGGGGCAAACATTTTCGAAGGGCAAAAATTTATTTGATGTAACAATTTTAGTAGATCTTCCAATGTCGAGCTTCCATTGATGAAATTAGTTCCAAAAACGTAAATAAATAGGCTAGGATTAGGAAGTGCATGAAATACTCAAGATAGGAAATAAAATTTACACAATTAAAAACTTTTTTCTTAATTTTCGTGAAATTCATTGTTTACATGTAAAACGTCAAATGGTCGTTTCGTGATCACAATCCCCTTCCCCCACTTTTCCACCCTCTTTCAATTTGGATAAATCTTATTATTTATATGTTTTGCAGGTTTGAAATATTAGGGACCGGTCATTATTTATAGTGGGGGGTGGCACCGAAAAGAAATGTTTTTCATGGAAAAATATTTGCTGACCCAACCACTAAAAAGTCAAAAATTTGATTACCCAACCTCAAATATCAATTAAAAAATATTTACCCACCCCTGGCCAAAAACGTACTTTACAAAAGGAAACCATTCAGTTGTGACATCAATGAGAGTCACTATCTTGATCTGTTGCATGGGAGACAAAAGTTGTCTTCAAAGACAACATGAAACTTTAGACTGCAGAAAATTTCACAATCCGTTATCAAACTCATGTCACAGAAGTGGTAAAGGACCACTTCTGTGACATGAGTTTGATAACGGATTGTGAAATTTTCTGCAGTCTAAAGTTTCATGTTGTCTTTGAAGACAACATTTGTCTCCCATGCAACAGATCAAGATAGTGACTCTCATTGATTCACATATTGTATTGACAAATATGACTGTTGACATTGCTTTTTAGTCTACAATATTTGAGTGAGTCATGCTTTGGAAATGAGAATAAGTTTTTATTACCCAACCCTTAAGTTGTTTTGTTTTTCATTTACCCAACCTTTTACTTACTCAAAATTTTGTTTACCCAACCCTTTTCTCTTCGGTGCCACCCCTCGCCATAAATAATGACCGCTCCCTTCCTCCTCCCTCCCTCCGTGACTTCAGATCTAGAGCGGAATGACTTAAAATTCTTTCTACTTTTAACATTTAGGCAGTTGACCCCGGATTGAAGAATATTTGTAAGTTTTGCTATTCTTTCATTAAGGATCTACAGCCAGCCCGACACTCAATCCCAGTCCCCTTGTGAAATTAAAACAAAACACGCAGAGCATGTGGTTCAACTATGTGATGACTTTTAAACACAGTTCTGCGTTCAACTGCCCTACTTAGAACTAGTTTTGCCGAGAGAAAGGTATATGACTGACCTACAATAACAGAAAAATGACTTCGTTGAGCCATAAGTCGGTTAAATTCAGTTTTCCTGGACTATTTTAGACATATTTTTTATCATAAATTGCTCTGTAGCTGTTCTTAAAGTTATTTTACTTTTAAATGTGCAACTACAACTGTCTTTATGATGGTATTTGGGTTTTTCCATTTTTGTGTCTTTCATTACCACTTCCAGTAACCCAAATCTCATTTTTTCAGTTAGGAATTGCGCTTTCGGTCTTGTGTGTCCATTGCTGCTGTTCTTTTATAAAACACTGACAATTTTAAAATTTATAAACAAGCACATTTGACTCCTAGTTGGAAAGGAAAAAGGCTACTCATTATAAGAATCGTCGCCAGAGGCCTGGCACGAGTAATTACGTTCTCGACCCTGCAATGCACTACTTCAACATTAATATTTATTGGAGGTAGTCACTAATCCCCGACTGAGGCTCGGAATGTTTTCTAACATGGGTTTCCATTGTCAAACTTTTAGCTTATGTTTTTACCAACCTTGGAAAAAAAGGACCTGAGGGACCTGCAAACACGAGTGGTTACCTAGGAACGACTCTAGAAGGCCAGGTTACGTTGAATGCTGGAATCCAGATGTGGCAAGTACCATACACAGGTACTTACATAATCGAGTCACGTGGTGCAGCTGGCGCAAACGGCAGTTATGACTTGCGCAATAAGCTTGGGGACAAGCATGTGACAAAAAGACATCATGGAGGCGTGGGAGCGAAAATAAGCGGAACATTTTGGCTTACTCATGGGACCTTGTTGAAAATTCTTGTTGGCCAGCGTGGAATGATGCATACACTTACAATTAATTTACAGACTCTCGATTTAATTCTTGATGTTGGTGGTGGTGGAGGTGGGTCTTTTGTAACTTACGTGAATAATATCCCCCTTGTTATTGCTGCTGGTGGCGGCGGCGGTGGCGGCAACGGTGTAGGGTTTGGGACAGATACATTTGATGCTGATTCGGGACAGTTAGGGGTATTAGGGAGTAGATGTAACAGTACGGTAGGAAATGGGGGAATGCTATGTTCTAATGAAGAGAAATACACGATCAACGCTGGAAGTGGAGCTGGGTTGCTAAGTAACGGTAGAAGTCCTAACCTGGCACATCATGCTATGTGTTTTGTCGACGGAGGGAGAGGTGGTACCAATATTGGGTTTGATGGTGATGGAGGGTTTGGTGGTGGTGGTTATGGTGCGCTAAACGGAGGGGGAGGGGGAGGATATAGCGGGGGAGGTGTGTGGGCTAACTCTACTTATGGTATCGCAGGGGGTGGTGGCTCAGTTAACCATGGCTTTGACAAGCAATCTGGTTATGGTGATGCCTTAGAGCATGGCTTGGTTAAAATTGTTTTTCTTGGCTAAACAATATCGGTTATTAATAATCATGCAAGGAAACTTTAACATATGTACTGTAAATGTTTTTTGATTTATTAGATCACGTCTCAGTTAAGATTGTTTTTATGTCTTAAGGTATAAATCAAGTTATTAGTTTAATAGTTTATCAGTCACACTCAGTAATAACCTTAGTACAAAAACCAACGAATCGCCGAATGTTTGGTTACTTCCGGACGATATTGTAGTGTTAATTTTGTGAATATTCAAGAAATAAACTTACGGGGAAAGATATGACAAAATTTAGAACCAGCATTAAACTTTTCAGAAAACTTTTGTTATAAGGGGCGGACCATTAGAAATTCCGAGAGGGGGGGGGGGAAATTCCCAAAAAAAAATTCGTGCAAAGCAAAATGCCTGGAAAAAAAATTCGTGCAGCCATTACGTCAGAGAAAAAAAATTCGTGCAAGCAAACAGCGAAGTACAAATAGTCTTGAAAAAAAATTCGTGCAGAGGTTAAATGCATTAAAAAAAATTCCTGCAGAGACACGAGACTGAAAAAAAAATTCGTGCCGCAAAAATTTTATACCCCCCCCCCTCCCGGGATTTCTAATGGTCCGCCCCTAATATAAACAAGTAGAAAAAAAGGTTACTTCAATTGTTATTTAATAAATCGTAATATCAAATATGAATATATTTCTTGTGTGATCGAATATATTTAGGAAACCAATAGATATCACGAATATATCGTAATAAGGTGACTTGTTACCATAGTTTTTGTTTTTCGTTACTTCCTGTGTGTCAAAATGACAACATTATTAATGCTTCTTCCCAAGTTGTGAATGTCCAAGTCAATTTAGTCGGGTATGCACATTGCAAAGCAGAATGTTACGATTCCCCAGTTGTGGATAAACTACATGAAAGTAGGAGGGGAGCGCTAGTTTTGAAGCGTCAATTAGCCTTATATCAGTAAAATTTTACATATGATAGAGTATAAATTCGGAATGTTTTCAATCGCTTCAAAACAAAACTACAAAAGATCAGTTGACTTGTATATGAGCTAGCTGCCAAACAATAGTAATCAGACTTCAAGGGTGGGTTGTACCAGCGTCCTGGTTGTACGAAGGACGGATAGCGATTTGGATAGCGATTTTTTCAATCATTGTAAAACTTCTCGAAAGGCTATGAAATTACAGATATGGTTCTAGATTAACAAAGTAAAGGCTTGATGAGTGTTACATGCAACTATGTTTAAATCGAATGCGTGATTACATGGCAAAAGTTTCAGCCCTGGGTCAAAAGTATACCAAGGGTTGAAAGTTTTGCCATGTAATCGTTTCATTTCAACTTGCATGGGTAGCTATAAAAACCAGGCTGAAATTTCAGCCCTGGGCTGAAAGTTTTCCTAATTATGTAATCACGCATTCCATTTTAGGACGGTTTTATAATACGACAGGTCTGAAAATTTCAACCCGGTCAACAGGGCTGAATTCAGGCTTGATGAGTATTCCATGCAACTATGTTTTAACTTAAGTAGAATACATATAGTTGTGTTGGGAAAGCATTAAGAATTAAGCCTAACGGATTGGTCATTATTTATGGCGGGGGGTGGCACCGAAGAGAAAAGTTTTTCTTGGTTAGAATTTTGCTGACACAACCATTAAAAAGTCAAAACATGTCTTACCCAACCTGAAATATCAATTAAAAAATTAATACCCACCCCTGGTCAAAAAATTATAAAAAGGGATACAGTTGTCACCCGAGTTTAACAACTGCATGCTTGAGCAGTTTTCTGCAGTCTAAATTTTCATGTTGTCTGCACATGTACTTTCTTTGGAGACACCATTTGCCTCCTGACAATCTGGAAATATATAATCAAGATAGTGACTCTGATTGATTCACATTTTGTATTGACTTATGCCTGTTGACATTGCTTTCTAGTCCTCAATATTTGACGGAGTCATACTTTGGATATATGACAATAAATTTTTTTGCCCAACGCTTGAGTTGTTTTGTTTTTCATTTACCTAACCTTTTCCTAAAAAAATTGAACTGATAATGAATTCAGAAGGTATTTTATCATTAAGTGCCAATATGAGTGTACAGCAACAGGTACATGTGTTTGAAAGGTTCTTTACTCCTTTCTTTCAGTCTGATCTTTTAAATTGTTTTGAGCTAGATTTACATCTGTCACAAAGAATTGTACCTTTACGACAATTAGTTTAGGAGCTAGACATTACATTTCTTCTTATAATGACTAAAATATTAACCAAAGCAGGGTTTATTTTAAGAATAATTTGCACATATAGGGATGTTACGAAGCACCAGGTGTTCGACAATTTTAATTTGGAAAACGTAAATATGGAATGTGAACTAATTCATTTCTCCTACTAATCAACATTAACATGACAAAATACATCATACCGAGGCGGACAGGCTTCAACCTCGTCCCCAGAGCCATTTTCACTCGGTCACTCGGTGGAAATTAGGTCGCGCGAGGCCCTGGGTACGAGAATGGGGTGAGGGTTGCAGCCCCTACCCTCAGGCCCCCAAGAGCAGTTGCTGATTGTTGAACGAATATTTCGATCTATATTCAAGAAGAAAATCTTCGAATGTTAACTGGTCGGAATTAACGTTTTTCGTAATTATAGTGTGAAGCCCGTTTTCCACTTCAACCGTACCGAAACGTACTGGTGAGCATGCGTAGATTGAAAAGAGGTTGATAAATTCTCGTAGGCAATTTTTTTGCGTACTATAGAAGTATTAATCAATCAACATTCACGAAATTTGGAAATTTTTTTCATACGTTTCGGTACGGTACGGTACGGCTTGAAGTGGAAAACGGCTTAATTAATATAGTTTCTCTCACAAGGGGCGTTTCTTCAAAAGATTAGTATATCCGCAATATACCCCAATAATAAGTGAAAAATTCAGCACTAATTTAATTTGAGCTTGAAGGAAATTAGTTACTAAATACAGCTGCTATATATATTATTGCCTGTTTGATATTTTGTCTCTATTTGCAGATATCATTATGCTAAATACTGTAATGTCTGCGAAAATGCAACTAAATTACCTTTTTATTTGATGAAGAACCCATATTATTGCCAAACTTAACTTATGAGTTATGATGTATTTGAAATTGGAAAACAAGTTTCACAGGTGTACGGGAGAAAAAAATACTGGTGTTGACAAAAATTGGACCGAAATTGCCCAATCCATTACAAAACATTTGCCTTCATCAACTTTCCAAAATGCATGGGGGGGAGGGTGGAGGGCGTCGATTCTCCGACAGTCTATTTTTTCCCCAACGTCACATATTCCTTACTTTTTTGACCGTATTTCATTACGACATACTTCCCTTTCGTTATTTGCCCGATTTTTACTGAAGCGGAATCTGCCCGATTTTTTAGCATAATCTGCCCGACTTCAAAATAATTGCGTGGCCTGCAGCCCTCCCCTGCAGCCCCCCCCCCCCCCAGCATACCTATGTTTCACTCTTTTTACATTATGACACATTCACTACTGTCGAAATTGAATAATTTTATAAGAAAAAAATCCAAGATTTAAACATTCTGATTTAAGATTGAAGCAAAAGAAATTGTGATGAAACAACGTTTCAACGTAAACGGGCTTTTCATGTTTCGGCAAATTACAATTAATACTAAACTGTCATTCACTGAAATTTATTTCAATTCTGAAAGTTGATAACTCCGTGACATTCTTCATAAGTTGTCGCTGAGGCCGAGAGAAAGCAGCAGACATCTTTATGGTAAAACTAAAAGGCAGTCTGATTCACCTAATTCAAGTATATATATACCCTGGATTCCAGAGCCTTCGACAGTAAATAATAAATTGAAATGTCGCGAAGGCTCTGGTTCAACGGGGCGATTCTTTGATTAAACCGCGCCAATCACAAAACAGAATTAGTGGTTTTAGTACAGAATCTAAACCACTAATTCTGTTTTGTGATTGGCGCGGTTTAATCAAAGAATCGCCCCGTTGAACCAGAGCCTTCGCGACATTTCAATTTATTATTTACTGTCGAAGGCTCTGGAATCCAGGGTAGTATATATAGCTATTGCTTAAATTTTACAGACCAGCTGTACTAAGACAGTCATGTAATTTAGTCATGATATATATAGTTGATAATCAGGCGGCATATTTTGTCTTTACGAAGTTGTCACGCAAATCACTATAATGTCATAGAAAATAATAGAATAAAATATAATACAGCGGAGAAATGCCAGTACTTATACTGCTCATGAGACATTTCTTCTGAATAGAAAAGGAGAGCGAGGGTTCTCTCCGGACTGCAAAGTTTGGTCTCCGTTCCCCGCGCAAGAATTGCAGCTGAATTTCTGTCCGCTCATTTTCAAGAAACTGTCCGCAAAATCGATATTCATGTATATTTGATCAAATTAAGAGGATATTTTTTTGTATGTTATATAACGTAACACGCGCTCAAAACTAATGCGTATACATATCGCTTGAGGTTATGAATAAATTCAAAATTTCTATTTTTCGATACGTTTCTCAATCGGAAAACAAACTTAAAAAGTATGTTTAGTGCTTTATCTGTGAAGTAAGACATATACGTTTAGTCAGTACTATATGGTAGATAGTCAGGCGGCATGTATTGTATATGCTTAGACTTCAGTCTTTATGAAGTTGTCATGCAAATCATTATAATATATGAAACCTGAAATAATACACGAGAAACATTTCTACCAAATTGAAAAGCAGAGAGAGGGTTTTAATATCTCCAAACTGAAAAATGTGGTCTCCCGCTCAAAATCCGGGTATATTTGACTCAATTTAGTTTAATGCTTGAATTTTCATACATGTTAAAAATGTGGTAAAATCGATTATGAATCATATAAATTAATGTTAAAATAATAGAAGTTATACAAAATTTGCTTGTTTTATACTTATTACTGGTATCATCGCAATATTCAAAATTTATATGAAAACGTCCACCATCAAACAAAGGACTAAAACGCAAAATTGAAAGTCTTTTCCAACGGTTAGAAAGGTAAGAATGAGTTATAAGACCTGTCGAGAAAGAAAAGAGTTAACGAGAAAAATAATTTCACACATTGAGCAGCACTGAAAACAGAACAGCCTCGAATTCTCAATGACATGTTGCACTATTTTTCATCGTTTTGAGATGTACTGAAGATTACATTTCAATAATCTGAAGGGGGTGAGGCTAGATCCCATCAGTTTCTAGCGGCCACGTTTTTCCAATTTTCATTTCCCATAGCCATTTTTTGACCAAATCCATGCAGTTTCAAATGTACTATTTAAAAGTATATCTTGAGCAACTGGTGTTTCACGCGATCACCAATGCATGCATGTTGACTTTTAAAACACAATAAAATATATTCTGCTTTCAATATAGCTCTTTTTAGAAATAACTTCACCAAGTAAATGGTTTCAAGTCTATAAATACCTGTTATTTTCTATCACTCGCAATAATGCAGAAAACTTCAAATTACCTTGGGCTGGAAAAGAGCAGAATGCAGGGTGCAAAAGGGCAGAATGTTGGAAACCATTTTTTATTTAAATCTGCCATATATCGGCAAGTTAGGGGGATTGAATTTCGAATTCTTTCACAAGTTTCTCTTA